CCCCCCTTCCAAGAACGCCTCCACCTGAGCGTCCAAGATAGAGCTCTTCGGCGGGTCATGCAGATTAAACCTCCCGGTATGGCCGAGGGAGGGGAACTCGGTGCCACTCCCACCAATGGACACAAACACGAACTTGCTCTTCCACCCATGAATGGACGTAGGCAAATCCGTGAAGCTCCTCTTCTTCGGCAGCTGCTGAAGAGTAGCGTAGGCCGCACAGTTCTTGTGGCTTCCTCGGCCTATCTGGTACAGATTCATAAATAATGCCGTTGTCGGCTTGTAGCCCAACTCCTCACACCGGAGCAAGAACCCCACCATCAAGGAGTAGCTGTTCGGCGTCAGCAAGGCCGGAGGAAGCCCTACCATGTCCAGGTACTCAGTAATGAAAGGGTGAAGGGGAAACCTCAACCCCTTAGCAAAACTCATCGGGTATACTCCAAAGTATCCCGGTGGTGGAAGAAGAACATGGTCCGTCGGCCTGGGTGCCCTAACCCGCCCGAACGGCCCCACATACATCTGGGCAACCAGATAGTCGGCCGCACTGCTCTCCGGCTTGATCAGAAAGATGTTGGTGAGATCCAGGTAGGAAATGCCCGGCCCACTCTTCGGCCTCCTCACTCTCTTCGGTTGGGTGGCTCCCTTAACGGCGGACACCGGCCTTGGGCACGGGATGACAGCAGAAGTGGACGCCCCGTCCACCACTCGGGACGCACCTACGTCTTCACCCTTGGAAGAAGAGGCGGACTCCTCGTCCTCGCCTTCCTCGTCCATCAGCTCCACGGATTTGTAGGGACTTAAACGCTCTATCTCCTCTTCAAACTCCTCGAGCACCTCGTAATCAAGCGACCTCGTGGAGGGCTGGTCGTCGTAGGGGTAGTAGTCTTCGTTCAAGTTCTTCATAACTACTATTACGGGCCTAAGGAGACTAACTTAAGATCTAAGTGTGTTCAACAAACTAACACTAGATCAACTACTTACGGAGCAAAATATGAAAAGTGAGGAAGATCGTGATGAACACTAACCTCAAACAACGAAGAACACGAAGAACAGGCTTGGGAGTTTATCTCTCTAGAAAATCGGTCAGCACTTCGACAAATTCAGAATCCAAATGTGATTCTTCGTCGGAGGGGAAGGGGTATTTATAGACCCCCCCACCAACGGTCACTACACGTGGCACTCCCCCAATGGCCACATCAACGGCCACCACTGGGAGGCCACCACGTCACCAACGGGCCAGGACCAACCCATATCAACGGCCCACCGGCAAATCAGACTCTACGGCCTACACGCTCGCTGGCTTCACAAGTACCAGCAAGCACCCATAACGTCTCATTTACTTGCCAATATCACAAATGCCAAACAATAAGAAGATGGCAACGGCCAGGAACGTAACGGCCACAGAACAAAGGGAACAAATAGCCCACAGCCTTCGGCTCCTCGTAATAACCCTTGATGATAACTCTCTACAAGCGATCTGCGCACAAGGGTTCTCCCACAGGGTTACCTTGGCCAGAAAATCGCCATGAGAGTTGGATTCAGGGGGACTACGGAGATGCCGCTTCGGCCAGGGACTCAAGCAACTCCTTCACCCCTCGCACTCCTCGGCCTGAAGCAGTGGGGGACTGGGGGACTGTACCGGCCTTAACAAAACAAAGAGTATAAACAAGGTAACCACAAAACATGGCCACATCAGCCACACAGCACAACGGAACCTCATCGGCCAAAGGCCCATAACGTCATTAGCGACGGCCAACAAGCCACTAGAGGCAAGGACACTCATCGTCCTCCGCCAACAATTAATCTTGACGGGCCCTTCGGCCAAGAACACAAAGGCCAACCAGCAACGGCCAAAAGGAGCGCGCAAGCACCCTCATCGGCCACCCAAAGGAAAGGACGCCATCGTCCTCAAAGCAAGGAACAACCTCAACGGCCTCACCGGCCCAAACATAAACTTCAACCACCAATGTCCAGGAAAGGGAAAGTGCGCCTTCAACGGCCGACATTGAAACAAGACAGTCATCATCCTCAAACACATTTAAGGAAACAACGGCCTCCCCACCCGCAGCGAAGAACAGGTAACGGCCAAAGCACAGAACAGGATCACCAAAGAGGAAACAACGCCAACGCCGCAACGGCTAAAGGCCCGGGGATGCCCGCATCGGCCAAGGGCAGCAAAGCACAGGAATCTACTCTCCTTCGCTTCGTCTACGTCTCAGCTTAGAGAGTGGGGGACTCCTGATGGAGTATATGGGTCTGAGCCCCAGGACCCACATACTCGGAAGAACAGAGCACAAGACAACAGAGTGGCGCCCTCGTCGGCCAAGACGCCCCCGTCGGCCGAAAAGGGGCCAACTCAGATTACGGTCCTGAACCCAAGGAAGTCGGGTGCCCTCGTCGGCCGCGCCCTCGTCGGCCGTGCCCTCGTCGGCCATGCCCTCGTCGTCCACAAAGACCTCCCAGAATCGGATTCTATACTTACTCATTTGTACAGCCCATTAGTGGCTTTGTATTCGGCCCAGTAGCGGTCCAGTTGTGAATGGGCCTCCCAAGCCCAAGGCTTGGGAGCCCAACCCTAATTTTCTCTATAAATACTCCCCTTGGGAGTAGTTATAGGGGTTACAAATCATTCTATTGAAGCATATTACTGCACTTCTCTCTCTAGCTCTCACCTCTCTCTAGATATACTCTATCATACTCCTTACCTTTATCCTACCCCGACCCTACCCTTTTACCGCTTACCACCTACCCCTACTTCGACCCCACCCCTACCCCTACCCCAATCTCGACCCCTCCCCCACCACCTTACCCAACCCCTACCCTACTAGCCCAGCCACCACCCCCCTTACCCTTACCCCGACCCTACCTTCCACCACTTGCCCTACCCCACCCTCACCCACCCCTTTACCCTACCCCTTTACCCCCTACCACTTTCCTCTACCTTGAACCGACCCCACCCTACCCCCACCCCCATTTCCCTACCCTGACCCTACCCTCCACCACTTTCCCTACCCCACCCTCACCCTCACCCCTTACCCTACCCTTTTACCCCTACCATCTGCCCCCATCACTTACCATACCCCAACCCCTACCCCTTTACCCCATATCACCTGTCCCTACCTCGACCCAACCCCTACGAGTAGGGTGGGGGCTAGGGGTATGGGGTGGGAGTAGGGGTGGAGTGTCAGGTCGTGGTAAGGGTAGGGGTTAGGGAAGGGGTGGGGATCAAGGGTGTGGAATTGGGGGTAGGGTGAGGGGTGGGGGTACAAGGCGGGTTAGGGGTGTGGGTAAGCGACTAAGCGTACGAGGTGACCCCACATACTATATTATATACTTGTGTTCATGAATGTTTGTGTGTATATATTTATAGGGTTGTTTTGGACATTTTAATGTCAAACGGTGTTTTAAATCCTTTGAATTAAACTTGAGCTTACAACACTGCTTATTTTATGCGTCGCTTATTAACGCGAGTCTTAGTAAGCATCGTTTACTAACCTGTGAAGTAAATATGTCCTTAGAATTTTTGTGTGTTTTATTGGCAGCAATAATTTATTAAGTTTGTTCTTATTTAAATTCCAATGTTTTTTACGGAGTATGAAGTATTATTTATGTATTTATGGTTACTCTCGTGCGCTTGGTAAAAATCAATATGATCTTTTATTGCATTAAACTATTAACATTTATAATATCTGTATTTTACACTCCATGCAACGCACGGGTGGAATACTAGATGTAAAATATACTTCCTCCGTTTCAAAATCTTTGCCACACTTTCTTTTTTTGGTTGTTTCAAAATATTTGCCACACTTCTATCTAAGGAAAGTTTTAACCTGCAAATTACCACCCTACCCACCCAATTAAAACACTCATTCGCCCCATTTATTCCTCACCCGTTTACTCTTCCCCATCAACCACATGACATTTACTCCTCAGCCCCATAACCCCATTTATCTTCCCAATCAATCGCACCCCATTTACTTCTCAACCCCATTCCTCTTCCCAATCAACCGCCCCATTTTTTCTTCTCGTTTATCTGCTCCACCTCTACGCTGCTACTCGTCTACCATTTCTCTTCCAAAGCAACCCCTTCCCATTCCTCAGCCCCATTTCACTTCTCGTTTATCTTCCCATCCGCTGCTACCCATGGACCCCTTCTCTTTGAACCATCTACCCGTGTCTCCGGTGGAAGTAAAATGCCCTCCTCCACAATTAAACATGCAAGAGGAAAAAGGCTTAGATCTGATATTGGAAAACGCCCCTGTGCCTATAGATCCGTTGCAAGTGGAGCCTGTGCCTATACATCTGTTGCATGTGGAGGTTGTGCCTTGCTTTCATCCATGGAGACTTCATTTTGGGGATTCTAGTGAGGATGAGACAGATCCAAATTGGGCTATTCGAAAAAAATATGGGGACAACCTTGTGTCCGACATATACGAAGGGCTAGATGGGCCGGTGGAAGATGGAGAGAAGGTGAGTTCGGCAGCGGCGGATGCAGGTGAGGAGCTGACATGTTCAGAGGAAGAGGCCGAGTGGGCGGAACATTATGCATGCCATTTCCCAGGGAAGTAGCTTGTACTCCTTACTTCTCTGTAATTTGACTATATACTCATGTTAATTGAGTTCTGGGAAACTAATGATGTTATGGGGTTTGAGTTCATGTTGTCTGGATTTTTGTTTAGCAGTGATGCCACCCAATTTACATAATTGTAGGAGGCTCTTTTGCTATTCACTGATTTTCTGGAAAGTAAAGAACAATTTACATAACTGATGCCACCCAGCATGTATTTGTTCTTTTGCTTTCTTCCAGATCCTGTGGACAGTTTCTCTACACACTTTGAACTCCTTGGATATTTCAATTATAACGCCCCTCTGAAGTTTCCCTGCACTCGCCATGCCTAACAACTTTTATGCTATGTGATGTTTAGTTTTTTCTGGTATTCTAGGCCTCTTTTGCAATGATGTTTCTCCTCCCCCCTGATTTTCTGGTTCAAACATTTGTGCAGGTGATATGGAGATGGGTTGATCTTCTGAAGGCGCGGCGAGAGGTGTCACTGGTTGATCTTCTGCGCATGCTTGATCATCCGGAGGATTTTCTACGAGCTGTGATTCTTCCATTCTTGGTTTTTAGTGTTTTGTTTGTAATGAGAACTTCTATTTGTAGATGTAATCTGGAGGGAATTGTAATGTTTAGGAGGGAAATGTAATGTTTAGGAGGGAAATGTAATGTTATTTTAGGCTGTAATATGAATTCAGAGTACTGTAGATGAACTGATGGTTCTACAGTACATGGATGAATTCAGTTAAATTCTAGCTCATGAAGTTTCCCTGCACTTGCCATACGAGCTGTACTCTTTTTTTACCACGCCTCCCCATTAAGGGTATTTTTGGAAACTCTTGCTCAAAAGTTAAATTCCCTTAAATGTTGAAAAGTCCAAGTGTGGCAAACATTCTGAAACGGAGGGAGTACAATACTAGATGTAATATCTCTAAATTAAAAAATGTTAAACATTTTGACTATCTGAAAATTTTCATATTTTTTATCGACAGTTCTTCATATTTCAACAATTTCGTTAGAGTTTTTTTTATTTAAAAAACATTGGTATTATAGGTCAAAAATTGATTAAATGGACAAATTGATCAATTTTGAAAGTAAATGTACCTATATGTTACTTTTTTAGTACAAAGACTTATAAGAGAATAAATTGTATTTAATCCCAAATATAGTACTCACTAAACTATAATAAACTATTTTATCTTAAATATAGTATCCGTTTAACTATATTTAAATATTAAAGTTTAATCTGCAACATAATATCAATGGCACCCCAATATTTTTTTGAAGCTCTTGGTGAATTGAAGTATGAGAGGTGTGCTTCGCTCCGTCACTCATTGGGATGCAAACTTACATTTTAGTGAGAAGTCGATTATATTCAGGGGTGACTTTAGAGTTTAGACCATCATACATTAGACTTCCACTCACTTTTAGAGGAAACAATTTCTATTAATTGTTAGGTATGCAATGACCATTACTAAGAGTCATGGACAATTGTTGAAAAATGTCATCATGTTACTCAGTCGCTCCTTTTTTACTTATAGGCATTTGTATGTGGCAGTGTGGAGAGTAACAAATCTATTGAAGTGGAGTTTGTAATATGTGAAGAAGATGGACAGACAACCAACCAAATCAACGTTGAATGTTGTTTGCAAAGAAATACGTAATATATATTATGGAGTAATTTATAATTTTCCTTGTAGTCTCGTGGACTTACATGCACGTCTATTTCATCGATGACGTTTTACATTTAGTTCTTACCATTTTTTTCATACTTTGATATTAGCCTATTACAATGTCATCTTATTTCAGAATTCATTTAATGTTTTCAAATAACTCAATCACAATCATGTTTTTTTTTGTTTTTAATTTATAATTGCATCTAAATTATTATGCAAGTGCTTCACTCCCGTGCAACGCACATGTGGAGTAACTACTAAATTTAATAAAATGTGTTATTTCCCTTATATATTGTTAGAGTATATGGGCTCAGACCCCATGGCCCACATACATGGAAGATTGACCGCAAAAGACCATCATCATATGGTGCCTCATCGCCAGACACAGAAGTACTTGGACCACTCCATAGAGGCCCAGAGTGAAGTGGGCTGCACATCGGCCTTGGACCGCTTCGACCAAATACCAGCATCGGCCCAACTACTTTGGAGAGAATGTATTTTCTATATTTAGTTAGATAAACCATGTGCCTAGCCCATTAGTTGCCTTATTATGCCCAAAACAGGCTTTATTATTGTAATGGCCCTCCTAAGCCCAAGGCTAGGAGCTCAAATCCACATTTACTCCTATAAATAGCCACCTAGGGTAGTTATAGTGGGTTGAGAAATATTAATTATCCACTCTCTCTCTCTAGCTCTCACTTCTATCTACAATTTAATACTCTATCATTTGGTGTTTTCATTGAGAGCTAGAACATATCAAGTGAGTACCCTTCGTAGCTACCAGACACGCTCAACCAACATGGGAAGAACCAAGTCCAGGAATGCCCTCAGCAGAACTGTCTCCGAGACTCAAGAGGGCCGAGAAAGGGCTAATGAGATCGTGGCGAATGATGTGATAGAGGAAGAACCCATCTAAGAGGTCATTGGCCCCGCTACGGACCTTCGCCACCAGCTCAACAAGACCTTTCCTGATGCCCGCATTGGACTAGACAACATGCGCTCGGCTGACCGTGCCTCGGCTCAACGGACACCTCCTGTTGACCCCCAACTTCAGGCCGCGCTATCGGCCATCATTGCCAGTCTGGCCCAGAATCCCACCGCCTTAAGCGCTCACGTGCTGAGGACGGGGGAGAACAACACACCTAGATTGGGGAGATTGTAACGACCCCACCTCCTACTCCACAGCCTCATGTTGTCACCTTCCTCGGCAACAATGAGAACGTCGTCCCTCAGGACACGACATCCCACATCGCCTCCCCTCCTCGTATGGAGTCGACCCCGGCTCGTGGTAAGAACTCGGCCTTCAACAGGCTGGGCGACATGAGTCATCGACCTATGACGGGAAGGATGGCGGAGCGATTGGGTGATCGTGAACCTGGCTCACCCAGGGAGAGTTTGGGGTCTGTCTCCCAGACAGCGGAACGGCCCCGCACAGACAAGGGCAAGCTGCACGAGGAGGATGCACGCCATCAGATTAATCAGGCCCATGTGGCCCGCATCTAAACACGACAGGGCGCCACTGCGGCCGTAGGGGACCTGAGGGACGATGTGATTGCTCGCTTGGAGAAGCGCCTAGCCGAAATGGAGGCACGACAACTCGCGGGTAGCGTCGCGGCCAACACCTCTCACCCTCCCAATTACGACGCGGTCCTACACAAGGTCAGCGCTCTGTAGAGGGAGTTGGCCGAAAGGCGTGGTGATCTCGTCATCCAGATCAGGACAAAGACCCGATTCACATCCAGGGTGCTTTCTGTCCCCATTCCCGAAAAATACAGAGGGAACCCGATCAAGCCTTACAATGGCCGCACTGACCTTCAGGAGCATTTCAGCCGCTACCAAAACAGTATGCTGATGATGAACGCTTCAGATGAATACCTATGTCACTGGTTCCTCTCCACCCTTGAGGGGCCAACATACGAGTGATTCAACGCGCTGAAAGAAAGCAGCGTGGATTCATGGCAAGGCCTTGTGCAACGCTTCCTCTCCCACTTTGCTGGAAGGAAGCGCGCAAAGAAGCATTTCTCCCATCTCCTAACTATCAAGCAGCAGCACGATGAGCCACTCCGGAGATTCCTGGACAGGTGGGTCAAGCAGACCGACGAGGTGGAGGGGGCAGATGACCGCACCCTCATCGTCCTCCTCCAGGTCGTATTGCGGAGCAGCCCATTCTCCAAAGGCCTCATAAGTGAACCGCCCAGATCATATACAAAGGCGCTCCGGAGGGGCGATTGTACGCCGATGTTGATGAGTTGCATTCCCACAAGAAGGACGGGGACAGTAGTAGAAGAAGAACAATCACCCTAATGTCCCAGCAGATAAGCAGCAGGACCAACACAGGCAGTCCCGCCCCGGCTCAGAAGAAACACGCTAGGACAAGCGCCAATGGCGTCCCAGGATTGACACGCCACGAACACCCCTCACATATCCGGTGAGCGTCATCTTGGATTACGCGGAAGGCAACGGCCTTATAGCCGGACGCGGAAGATATCTTGATAGAAGAACAAATCATTTCAAGGACCATTCATAAACGACCTAAAATTCAGTTAGCGAAGTGGGAATTACGTGTTGGAAACCTTGAATTGAACGTTAATGCACCATTTTCCTATAATGGTTCCTCGAGCGGTTCGGTGATACGAACGAAGACCGGCGACTTTGTCTTTGCTCTTTAGTTCCCTATCTCTGCCAGATCTGTGGCTGAAGCGGGGCTATTAGCTTTACATTCGGTAATTCTTTGTCTGTCTATCATGGTTTCGCTTCACAGGTTTTCAAGCAGAAACAGATTCTTCTGATACGAGCGAAGCTCTCGAAGGTAAATCTTCTGCTGGAAGATGGAGGAAAATGACGGATGAAATGGGTAGATGGAAAGCTAAGTTCGGCCTATCTTTTCCACATGTCTATTGAGAGGCGAATTGGACGACACATTATGTATCCACATTTTTTTCATGATGCGGCCAAGCTTAAAGTCTTTTTCCGTCTTAATGCATTCTCTAATATTATTCGTAAATCATTAATAACAGATAAATTAGGACTGGTTTCTTTCAGATTTTCTTAGTCTTTATTATTCCTTTTGTATTTTATGGGTCAGGTTTATGCCCCCATAATTTTGATTTTATCTTTTGCTGTTTTATCGCATGTATTTCGAGAAAGTATGCATTCTTAGGTTTTACCCATTGGCAGGTTCCCCCATCAATGAATGGATAACCTACCATGATTAAAAAAGTAAAAATGATTTATTAAAAAAAGGATGACACCCCATCTCTGAGGGCCTTTCAACCCGACCGGATGGTACGTTGAGAGTATGTAAATTGGACTATAATCCCAATCCGACAGATAGAGAGTAGGGCTATGTCCCCGATATTTGCAGAGGCTCTATGCATATTTTAACATAGTAACCTTTCATCGCAGTTGCCGAGATTCGAACCCGTCAACTAACCCTTGTGGCATTCTCTCGCTACCAGTTGAGCTACGCCCACCGATAAAAAATGATTTATAACAATACAAACTTTATCAAATTTCAGTACGAGGTTTCTTGAAAATGTAAAATAGGATAATAATAGATACTCGTATATGGAAAAACGGCCAAATAGATCTATGTCCGAAAAGTCCAAAGAACCAATACTCCTTCCGTCCCTTAAAACTTTGTCATCTTTCCTTTTGGGAGCGTCCCAAAAAACTTTGTCACTTTCCATTTTAATCAATTATTTTGTAGTTTCTGTTATTTCTCTCTCCACTGCACAAATTTCAACCACAATGTTTTTACTTTATTATTCTCCGTGTCGGTCAACTTTGACAAAGTTTTAAGGGAGGGAAGTAGTATTTTACAAAATTACAAAGAAAATGCAAAACATGGAATAACTGAAAGTACAAGTTCTTTCTTAGAAATAAACTCTCTTTTGGCGTCGCAATTTTTTAGGCATTACGCCACTCTCCCGATCAGGCCATCAACCCACTTTCTATTTTTTTCACCCTCCCCACTTTCTGTCTCTCTCTCTCTTTCTTACACTTGCAGTATTTCCTTCTCAATTCCTACCCTATATAACAAACATTCCCTAATCCTCACCCTCTCCGCCCCTCCTTCGTACAGAAGACATGGCTTCTTCGAAATTCTCTGCTCTTCCAGTTTGTCTATTCATTTTACTAATACGCCTCTCTATCTCCGACGCCTCTTGTTTTGTCGGAATAAACTACGGCAGGATCGCCGACGATCTCCCCTCTCCGGACAAGGTTGTTCAGTTGCTTAAGAATCAGGGGATCACTCGAGTCAAGCTATATGACACCGACTCCGCCGTTCTCGGAGCTCTTTCCGGGTCCGGCATAGCCACCACTGTGGCGCTTCCAAACGAGCAGCTCTCCTCCGCCGCGGCTGGCCAGGCCTTCACTGACGCGTGGGTCCAGGCCCATATCATTCCCTACAGGTCCATCATTGAAGCCGTAGCGGTGGGGAATGAAGTGTTCGTCGACCCGGCGAACACCACCGCCTACCTCGTCCCGGCACTGCGGAACGTTTACGCGTCTCTGGAGAAATACGGCGTCGCTTCGTCTGTGAAGGTCTCGTCCCCCATCGCCCTCAGCGCGCTGCAGACGTCGTACCCGTCTTCATCCGGCTCATTCAAGCCGGAACTGGTCGAACCGGTGATCAAGCCCATGCTGAGCCTACTCAAACAGACCGGTTCGTTCCTGATGGTGAACGCGTATCCGTTTTTCGCCTACGAAGCCAACACGGACACCATATCGCTGGACTACGCTCTATTCAGAAACAACACGGGCGGCGTCGTGGACCCCAACAATGGGCTGGTGTACAAAAGCCTGCTGGAGGCCCAGCTGGACGCCGTGTTCTCCGCCATGAACGCCGTCGGGTTCAGCGACGTGAAGGTGGTGGTCTCCGAGACGGGCTGGCCGTCGAAGGGCGACGAGAACGAGGCCGGCGCGAACGCTGCGAATGCCGAGGCGTACAACGGCAATCTGGTCAGGCGGGTGGGGACGTGCGGTGGGACCCCCTTGAGGCCCGACCAGCCTCTCAACGTCTACCTGTTCGCGCTGTTCAATGAGAATCAGAAGCCCGGGCCCAGCTCCGAGAGGAACTACGGGCTTTTCTATCCAAACGAGCAGAAAGTGTATCAGATCTCGCTGGGCCTGACGAGCGGGCCCATTAACAACGGGAGCAAAGCCCAGGTTTTCCCGCCGCGGGCGGGGCAGACGTGGTGCGTGGCCAGCGCGTACGCGGCGGAGGAGAAGCTCCGGGCGGCGCTGGACTACGCTTGCGGGGAGGGAGGGGCGGATTGCCGTGCGATTCAGCCGGGCGCCACGTGTTACAACCCGAACACTCTTGATGCCCACGCTTCCTACGCCTTCAACAGCTACTACCAGATGAACTCACGATCCTCCGGCAGTTGCGATTTCCGCGGTGCTGCCCACGTAGTCACTCAACCTCCTCCCAGTAAGCAAAGATTCTTACACCTCATATTTTTCTACACCTATTATCAGACTTAGACTTGAATAATTATAAAATGGTAGTACCGTAAGGTATCATACCTTACACGTGGACCAATGATAATGTAGCAGTTGAATTATTTAAATCTAAATTAAAAATGATAAAGTGGTGTGGTACAATCAAATGAATGGTAGGTACGGTAAGGGAGTTACGGGAGTTGTCACCTTACAAAATACATAGAGATCAGAGGAGTTTTGCTAGACAAGTTTAAATCACATCAGAAAATTCCAATTCAAATAAAAACTGTGAAATAATGGCAAATGATACTCCAAATAGGAATTCTATCAGATATATTTATAATACGAATTATAAGAGAGTTGCCTAAATTAAAATTATTCTTAATTTAATATTAGGCTATTAAAAACATCCTTATTATTGTTTTATTGGAGGCTTTTTGTTGTATTTTGTTGTATTCCTTTTAAAATTGACTCAAAATAATTGATATATCTTCATCCCAAAATGGTGGTTTATAAAGTCAAAAAAAGTTGGTAACCAATGTGAAAATAATTAATTTATTTTTATTTATTAAAATTTATATATTCAGAAACTACATTGAAATCTTTTTAAAATTATGATTAGAATAATTTTTTTGCAATCACTTTATTAATAATTATGTCATTTGAATATTAGTTTACGGGTTATTAAAGAAAAACAAACATGTCTCTTTCTCCATGCGAAAACGTCCACGCATTTTAATGAGTAATTGGAGTTGGGTGGTCCGTTCTTATCCATCCAAAACCTACTCAAAGAAATCAATTCATACGAGAGTTTTGCGAATCCAGCGCTGTTATACAGCTATGGTTATTAAGGATCCAAAATAGTAACGTATTATTCGAAAACTAGAGACATGTCTACTCTTGAATGTATTTTTCAAAAAAAATCTACCGTTGGGTTTCTTGTCATTAGAATTTGTCTTCTTCTCATTATACGATTTTATTTATAATAATAATAATATATGCAGAAATCGGAAGCTGCGAGTACCCAACACGGTATTGACTTTATAATTGAAGAAAGAGGTGGCAGGTTTTTGAAGAAGAAGGATATATATATATATAATCATTCATAGTATTTAGAAATTGATATTTTCAAATTATTTTATTTATAGTCAATAATAATGTAATATATTTGTGGTTATGCTGGTTAGATTTGTTAGTTTGATTCGTTCTTGACTATTGTTTAAACCTGCTTGATATGGACTTGTGGATTCATATATTTCCCTTATATAGGCATGCTTAGCTTTTGTTAAAGATTCATTCATGTTTATTCATTAAAATCATAATCAAATCCTTACTTTTAGTTGTATCAATAGAGTTCGTTTAGTATTTCCATTGAGGAATGTTGGGTGTACTCCAAATTGGTACAGAAAATTCTGTTTTTTTTTTTGAAATGAATTGCGTGTGTACACAAATAATTAGAGGATTAGAGGATGTGTGTACAAATAGGGTACAAATTGGGATACCTCATTTATGATTGACATTATGGTTCACGTAGAAGGAGTCACTCCAATTCTAAAAATGAATTATTCAGGTATTTTACATTATAAAAAAGGGAGTGGGTCAGAGGAAAATCCGTTTCCAATATTTGAAACTGACTCGCAATTGATAAAGCCGTACCTTAATTTTTGCTTTGCTTCATTACATTATTATGCTTCATAAAACATAAAAATTGGGGTTGTTTTATTGGAATGTCAATCAACAATCTTCAATAACTTTTATGGGTATTCTTAAAATAGTATAAATATAAATATCCATACGAAGTACTTCCTTTGTTTTTAAAAGTTTGCTATATTTTTCCATTTGGAAGTATTCTATTAGAGTTGCTTATTCTAATTTTTGTCTTTCTCTTTCCTACTTTTTCACCCTATTCATATTCCGTGGCAAATTATACCGCCGCACCGTGAGGATGGTGCGCCCGGTTGCAAAACGACACAGCATGCTTGGTTTTTTTTTTGCGTTTGTTGTTAAAAAATGATAATAACTTTTTTATTTTTGATCCGATTTTTATAAAATCTATATCAACATTTTTTATTTTTCATGATCTTTCAAATGAGACCAATATTGCTTATGTAATTTTAAGAAATTATCGAACTACTATATTAATGAGTATTGGATTATAAGGAAAATCGAATCTGTTTGGGAGGTGATAGGTTTAAGAAATAGAAGATCGAATCTATTTGGGAGTGGATCAGTGGCTTCAGTTACATTTGATAATACATTGAGTTACATCTTTTTATGAGCGAGTTACATCTTTTTATAAGTAAGTTACATCTTTTTATAAGTGAGTTACATCTTTTTATAAGCAAGTTACATCTTTTTTTAAGCGAGTTACATATATATACACACAAGTTGCATTTGACATGCCTGAACGTGACTTACATATATTTACACGTAAAGTTACATATTTTTACACGTAAAGTTACATATTTATACACGCGAGTTACATATTTATACACACGAGTTGCATTTGACCTGTCTGAACGCGAGTTACGTATTTTTTTACGTAAAGTTACATATTGTTACACGTAGAGATACACATATTTATACACACGAGTTGCATTTGGCCTGACTGAACGTGAGTTACATATTTTAACACGTAAAATTGCATATTTGACACGCAAATGTTAATATGTTAAAATTACATAGACAATATTGGTCTCATTTGAAAGATCATGAAAAATAAAAAATGTTGATATAAATTTTATAAAAATCGGATCAAAAATAAAAAAGTTATTATCATTTTAAAAAAAAAAGAGAAAATAATATCCAATGAATGCATGATGCTTGTATAAGCACTCATATTTCCTACTCTTCCCATTAATAAGAGGTAAGTAGTGACAAAATTAGGAATTATGGTTCCACCTACCCCCGAGCTTTGGCAATATTCGTTGAGTCAACAGGTGAACCGTCAGTATTGAATTGGGTTCATCGAAATTCAAATTTGGTGGAGCAGCAGTGGTTATTTCTTCTCCCAAAGGTAGTCCATATTAAATGGTCATGACTTGCCATCGGCTCTCAAAGTTAGTCTCTCCTCTTGCATTAATTGTTTGAAATCCTTGAAGTTGTAATAATCTCTCATACAGCATTGCGCACCTATAATTAAGATTTAGAGCTCTTTATCTCAAATTGCATGAAGCTATGAGTTTTATATCATTTTCATATTTAGTTCACGTCTTTTTGTGTGTTTACTTTTGGTACCTGACTAATACTTTTTATCATTTATTGTCATTTTTCAACGATTTTAACGACCAAAATTATTGTCGGAAGGATTATATATGGCTAAAAACACAATAGTAATGTACCAAATGTGATCAAAGTCAAAGACATGAATCAATTGTGGTGTGATACTCGTAGGACCAAAAGTAGACTTTATTCTTAACAAAATTGTAACCTGAAACTTCAGAATGTGCTAAATTATTTGAAAATTATATATAAAAATACTTTATTAATAAAATGAAGAAATATCATGTGAATATAGCTTCCTCAAAAAATACCATGTCAATATACTTACAATGGATCTTTATACGGAGTAATAACTTTAGTTAATTCAATCACAAAAGTAGCTTTGGCCTCATTTGTTATGTTTATTTGGCCTTTTCACTTGTGGAATCAAAAGTTACATGCAATGTTTGATTAAAAAATTGATTGACAAGGATGATAAATTGAAAATAGGAATTACCAAATTGACTCTTGACCTATTTCTAAAACCAAGATTAGCTAAATATTATTTCCCTTCACTAAGATTTATGTTCGAAATGTGTACTACTTGTACTTATATATTTCTAGAAAATCTCCTTATAAGATACTGAAACCATCCCAAGCAGGGGCGGATCTGGCATAGGGCAAGGGAGGGCCTAGGCCCCACCTCAAAAAAAATGAAATTACTAGTATATATATATTATATATGTACTGGGAAGAAATGGTATAATTAGAACAAACGTCTTATTGTAAACAAAAGTTATGTTGGTGTGATGGTAGAGGTGTGATTGGTAGTGAAGAGGTTATGTGTTCGATTCCTAGCTGGAGCAACATTTTTTTTGTATTTTCCATCCAAGTCCAGGAACATGCTATCTTACACAAATCAAGTCTGAATTTTAACTTTTGAATACTAGGATGCAAAAATTAAGTAGTCCAACTAATTGGGCTTTATTAGTCTGAAAAACCAATTAGTTCAATTGATTGAGCTTTTTGAATATTGTCCTAAAAATTAATTAGTTTAATTCATTGGGCTTTTGAATATTGACCGAAAAATTAATTAGTTGAATACATTGAATTTCGTAGGTGAAAATAAGTTTTCTTTACATTGAGTATAGATTTTAGAGTAAAAAAATCGGTTTATCTTGTTTTCGAGAAACTAACCTAAAAATTGACACTAAACATTTGGGTAACCGATAAAACTTCGGTTCGATATCTATGACTTTTAAGATAATTGTATTGTTGGTTCTGTAATATTCAATTTATTCTTAAACATTTCTATAATTTACATTTTGACTTCTAAGATATTATTATACTATACTACTTTTTGACATTTTTTTATAATATACGTTATTTAATTAAATTTTGGTCCCACCTGAACGTAAATGCTAGATCCGCCCCTGATCCCAAGAAAGTTCCCGCTATAGCATTACTAATTTACTATATTCAACAAATGATTAATAACTTTATTTTATTTTGGTAACGTAGGAAGCTGCACGTACTAATAGTCGTCTTAAACCACTAAACCAAATCTCAACATCAATTAAATGTGATATATATGGACATCTATTTAGGAAGCTGCACGTACTAATAGTTTTTTATATAATTTATTACCGTTGGAATAAATTCATGAATACTTTAATCTTCACATTGGAATTATTTGGAGAAATAACTGAGCGGAAACGTACATGACTCCATTGGAGATGACCTTTAGAGATCCGGAAGACGAAGGCTAGGGTTTACGTCTTCTACTTGATACACACCCTCAGGATTATCTCTCTAGCGATGGGATGCAGAAAGATGGAATGACGTGTTCAACTAGGGACCATAACCCCTCTATTTATAGAGAATGCTTAACCCTAATCAGCTCATCATTAATTAGGTTAAGCTCATGGGTCTCTACACATTTAGGCTTTATACCTTATTACGAGCAATTTGTCACGGTGCGTCAAAATAAATTCAATACTAAACACTTATATGTAGTATAGCGTAGTAGAGTTCGTATCCACAGGGAAAGGAATGATTCTCTTTTTATGAAACTAGTAGTTAAAAAGGGGGGTTTTGGTTTAGAGTGATTTAATTCAATTAAGAAACTAAGATGAACAACCTATATGTGTTAAATTCAAGAATAAAAGGGACTTGACTTTGCTACTTTCCACTTGTTGATATATTTTAGTTGATCCTTGTTATATCTATAACTTATCCCCTCTCGAATACTCAATCGAGGAGTATCTCCAATCCATCGAGGGTAGTTATTAACAATGACCGTTCATTAATAACCCTTACTATTAATCAAATATAGAACAACGTTGTATACCGATATAATAGTAGCATTCAATCTTTTTAACTCCTTGATGAAATCAATTGAGATTGATAACCTTAACACAACGGTTTCGGTTTAACCAACAAAATTGACCCCTCTTAAGTTTATTAACCACGACCGTGCATTAATAAACCGAAGTTACTTACTTATGAAACTACCAACGATTAACCATCGGTTCGTTGATCGTTTCTAGTAGTAATTAATGTCGAAACGTTAACTAATCGTCACTTAGCAACCCTCCAACATTAATATAGAATGAGATTAAGGAAGAATTAATAATCAAGAGAAAAAGTTAAGAAAATAACTCACAACTTTAATAATCAACAAGCTTCAAGAGCAAAACCAAGAAATGGAAGTTTAGCTCCTCATTTGGAGACTAAACATAGCTAGAAAAATATAAAGAAATGCTATTCTAAACTGAGCTAAAGAGTATGGAAGAAGAGATGATTTTTTGTGAAGAAAAAGTGTGCTATTTATAGGTGTTTTTCAACACCTTTGGCCGGGTACCCGACCGGGTTTAGTGCTTACCCGACCGGGTACCGGTCAAAATCAGATTATCTCCCACGTTTTTGTGTTTCAGCACGTTAAAATGTCCCGGGTCAAGTCAGACCCGACCGGGTCAAGTAGGGGACCCGACCGGGTTTGACTCAAAAATCAGATATTCTTTATTCGGGCGATCCTTGGCACGTTCTGGTGTTCCGGGTCATATCCGACCCGACCGGGTCAAGTAGGGGACCCGACCGGGTCTAGCTATTTTCTCAAGGATGTGGTTCTCAACTCAGACCCGACCGGGTGTAGTGCATGACCCGACCGGGTTAGCGCTCCTGGCCATTTTTATTTTCCGCTTTTCTCCTTTTCCTTGCTAAAAACACTACTACTATTCTACAACTATAAATGAAAGCAAAAAAAAACAATTACAAACAACATAAAACAAATGTTTACAAACTAACTAAAGAGGAAAGAAAATCCACACAAAGTTAATACAAAAACATACATTTATGCACTATAAACTAGTGCATATCAAATATCCCCACACTTGAATCTTTACTCATCTCGAGTAAATGTAATCCAAGAAATCCATAAATGATAAGTTCATCACCCCAACCATCACAAAGTTTGTTGAACAAAAATTAATTACACAGTATCCCCTGTAACATAAAAAAGGCCACATCAAGGGGTCTTCCATTCCAATTTCTTATGCAATGAGCCTTCTTCAGTCATCACCCTTAGGATCCTGCAGAATAAAAAGAAATACTTCTTTCATTCTCTCATTTTGCCTTGGTTCCCTTTCGGGTTTTCAACCGAGCTTCCCACATTTTTTTATAAATCTCACAAACTCACTCTTATTTTTGCTTTATTTTTGCTTAAGCTGCCCTTTGTGGGTTTTCAACTTAACAAGCTTTTTTTTTATAGGAAGATAACAAGAATAAAGAGTGTGAATGTGAACATACCGGGAAGATCTCCCCCACCACTAGTCCGTGGCACAGTCCCTAGTGCTCGCCCGCATCTCCGCCATCGAAAAATCCTCCATAGCCCCTATAGTGTGTATCCTCGTCCATATGATCACCGTTGTATCCATCTTCCCCGCCTCCACCACTAGAGGTCGAGCCACCGAAATAACCCCATTCAGTGGGGTTATACCATGAAGGTGCCAGAGGAGGAGTGGTCATAGAGTTGAAGTTCCCCTGATGTGCGATATAGGAGTAGATAGGCCCAAAAGTCCTCCTTTGGTCCTCTTCATATTGGCACCAATCTTCTCGCCTTGGTTCTTCAATCCTCTCGAAGCTATGCGTTTGCTCATTTCTGTACAACCCGACTTCCTCCCGAAGTTGGGTGTAATTGAGGTTAAGAGCATTCATGTTGTTTAGCATTTCTTGCTCAAATGGAGAGTATTGATGAGCATGGGATTGTGGGCGATGTTGTTCAGGAATGATGGGTGGTGCTTCAAGTGCAGGCTGTTCATTGGCGGTTTCATTCTCCCCCGCCTCATTTTCTGGGGGTGCAAAATGTGGTGGAATTCCCCCGGGCATACAATAGTGGTGTCCAATACCGATTTGGTGATCGATGATGTTAAGCGAGAGGTTTTCGGAAGGGAAGGGGTAGTATAGTTCTTGGCCGGGTTTGATGTGCCAATTGTAGATTTCTAGGCCATCATGTTATATGTGTGAAAGAGACACATCGCCAGCATTCTTTAAAAACTGAAGGCCAAGAAGGGTCTTGTGGTTTTGTGCACCATTGCATACAAAACCATATAGTGTGGCAATGTGGGTAATTAGACCCCCTATCAGAATTTTTCCTCCACCATTTTTAACATTGATGATGTGATCCCAAAGAACTGTGGTCACATCGTATGGGCCGGCACCCGGAAGAACAGCTTGTGCTAAGAGGCATACATCCCACACTCTAGTTTGATGGTTGTTTGGTCTTCCGAAAAAGCAATTAGCCAAGAATTTTAAGAAAATTCGGAAGACCGGGTGTTGGACGTGGTTGACATTGAGGTGGGAAGTACGAACATTGACAATTCCGGTCATTCTTCTCCATAGTTCATAGGCCACCGGTGAACTATACGCTACTGTATCATCAAGCAAGGGTAGGCCGAAGTGTTCAGCGAATTCTCGTTTGGTGAGTGAGCGGTTCTCGTTGAGCAGACGAAAGTTGATCGTGTTATTTGTGTGATCATTTTCATCTTTCACATGCTCAACGGAACTGTAAAACTCATACACCAAACGAGAATACGGCCAATAATGCATATCAAACATTTTAAGCATGCCACACCTTTGGAATATATCTCTCATAATATCATGAATCCAGAACATTGTTAATGTCAATTGGCATAGAAAGCGGGAGGGTTTTACCTCTCGTTCGGATTGCTCAAGGAAGCGGGTGCGTTGTGCTTCGGTCTCAAATTCCACCGATTCGAAGCCCTCGACGGGTGGAATAGCTCTTGGAACTCTTGAAGAAGTAGCTCTTCCCTTTTTGGTGCCATGGAATTGTTCCCCCCCCCCCCCCCCTATTTTTGTGAAGGATTTTCAATTTTTTGGGGAGGTGGGATTTGGTGAGGGTGAGTGGTATGGTTTTGTAGAGGATGAGGAGGAGAAGAGGTATTTGGTGTTTGTTAGGGATTTTGGCTTGAATTTGGACCTTGAATGTCCAAAAAAGGAGGGGTTCGAAATTTGGGGTAGGGTTTATGGGTTTGGTTGATTTGGGGGATTTTGGGAGGATTAATTGGTGTAGGGTGGAAGAGGGAGGTGAGGAGATGAAGAATATGATGTTTTTTGATGAATTTGGTGGGGGAATGGGGGAGATGTGGAGGTTTTGGTGGATGAAAATGGAAGTTTTGGGGTGGGTTGTTCGAAAATGGGAAGAGAGAATGAGGAAGAAGGTGAGAGGCCCGACCTGGTATAGGCTGAAAGTCCGTTGACCCGATCGGGTCTCCTTGTTTACCCGGTCGGGTGAGCATTCCAGAGGCTGGAAGAGAGTTTGTTTGCTAGATACCCGGTCGGGTCTCCTTACTTGACCCGGTCGGGTAAGCTTTGTTGCTTAACCAGATAGGTCTGGTAGTTGATACCCGATCGGGTGAAATAACATACCCGGTCGGGTTTGCCTCTTTTTTTCAATTTTACGCTCCCCCACCCGGGTAGCCGTGCGGGTATCCTTGTTTTTATGTAATACCCGACCGGGTGAACTGTGATACCCGACCGGGTATATTCCGGAACATTTTATATATATATATATATATTTTTTTTTGTTTTTTTTTTACATTCTTTTTTTTACACACACACTCTACTAAAATAAAAAAAGGAAAGACAAATATACCGTGCATGGGTTGCCTCCCAAGAAGCGCTTTATTTAACGTCGTGGCTCGACGATATCTTCTGTTGTTCCTCATTCGTAGACCGGTTCAGAAAGGTCTACGACTTCCACGTTTTTGGGTTGAAAACCCTCAAAGAAGAGTTTTAATCTCTGTCCATTCACTTTCAACACCTCTCCCGTCTCCAGGTCCTGAATTTCCACCGCCCCGTGTGGATATGTTTTGACCACTTTGTATGGTCCGGTCCAACAGGATCTCAGCTTTCCGGGAAATAGACGAAGGCGTGATTGGAATAGGAGGACTTTTTCATCAAGTTTAAAGCCTTTTCGTATGATCATTTTATCATGCCACTCCTTCGTCTTTCTCTTGTATATTTCTGCATTGTCATAAGAATCCAGGCGAAGTTCTTCCAATTCTTGTAATTGGAGCTTCCTATGTACACCGGCCTCGTCAAGATTGAGGTTGAATTCTTTAACCGCCCAATAGGACTTGTGTTCGAGCTCTACGGGAAGATGGCATGCTTTCCCAAACACAAGTCTATAAGGAGACATACCGATTGGGGTTTTGTAGGCAGTTCGGTATGCCCATAGCGCATCATCAATGCGTATACTCCAATCCTTTCGGTTCGGGTTCACTGTTTTCTGGAGTATAGATTTCAACTCCCTGTTTGAGGTTTCCGCTTGGCCATTGGTTTGAGGGTGTTAGGCTGTAGAAATTTTGTGAGTCACACCATATTTTTTCAGTAGAGATCCCACAATTTTATTACAAAAATGTGTGCCTCGATCGCTTATTAAAATTCGAGGGACCCCGAACCTTGAAAATATGTGTGATTTTAGAAAACTAGCCACCACCTTGGTATCATCAGTTTTTGTTGCTTTGGCCTCCACCCATTTGGAGACGTAATCTATTGCAAGAAGGATGTATATGTTACCTTGGGAATTATGGAAGGGTCCCATGAAGTCGATACCCCATGCATCGAAAATCTCACACAAAAACATGAGGTTTTGTGGCATCTCGTTCCTCCTGGAAATGTTGCCCGCTCTTTGGCAATTGTCACAAGATTGACAAAAGCCGTGTGCATCCGAAAATAGACTCGGCCACCAAAAACCGCTTTCAAGTATCTTCATTGTCGTTCGTTTCGGACCGAAATGTCCTCCACAAGCATAAGAGTGACAAAACTCTATGATGTGGGCTATCTCATATTCAGGGATGCATCTTCGGATTATTTGATCCTTACAATGCTTCCACAAATATGGGTCATCCCACACATAGAGTCTTGAATCCATTCTTAGTTTTTCTTTTTGAGATTTTGAGAGTTGTGGAGGAAATTTGCCGGAAACGAGGAAGTTCACGATATTTGCGTACCATGGTTGTGTGACTTTGATGGAGAAGAGAGTTTCGTCCGGGAATTCTCCTTTGATGAGATTTGTGTGGAGGTCTTCGATGTCTTTGTGAGGGATGAGGCGGCTTAAATGATCGGCCACCAAGTTCTTCGCTCCTTTCTTGTCTTTAATTTCCACATCAAACTCACTCAATAGAAGGACCCATCGAATGAGTCTTGGTTTGGCTTCTTTCTTTGTCATAAGGAATCGGAGAGCGGCATGGTCGGTGTAGACAATAACTTTCGTTCCAAGAAGGTAGGAACGAAACTTTTCCAAAGCAAAGACTACCGCTAGCATTTCCTTTTCGGTGGTGGAATAGTTCTTTTGGGCTTCGTTGAGGGTTGATGAGGCGTAGTAGATGACATGATAGGCTCTTCCGACTTTTTGGCCTAAAACAGCACCCACCGCATAGTCACTTGCGTCGCACATGATCTCAAAAGGAAGAGACCAGTCGGGGGCCTGTATGATTGAGGCAGTCACCAATCTTGCTTTCAAAATGTCAAAAGCCTCTTTGCATTCATCATTTAGATCAAATTCCACCTCCTTTTGTAAAAGTTTGCATAGAGGAGATGAGATTTTTGAGAAATCCTTGATGAATCTCCTATAGAAACCAGTGTGACTGAGGAAAGAGCGGATGTCCCGTACATTTGTGGGGTACGGGAGCGTTTGAATCACATCAATCTTTGCTTTGTCCACCTCGATCCCCTTTGATGAGATCACATGCCCAAGAACAATCCCTTGTTCTACCATGAAGTGGCATTTTTCAGAGTTCAGCACAAGGTTGGATTCAATGCAACTTTTTAGCACAAGAGTGAGGTGATAGAGGCAAGAGTCAAAAGAGTCCCCATGGATTGTGAAATCATCCATAAGGACCTCCATGAATACCTCCACAAATTCTGAAAATATGCTCATCATGCACCTTTGAAAGGTGCCCGGTGCGTTGCATAATCCAAAGGGCATTCGTCGGTAGGCAAAAGTGCCAAATGGACATGTGAAGGTTGTTTTCTCTTGGTCCTCCGGAGCTATTGGTATTTGGAAATACCCGGAGTAACCATCGAGAAAACAATAGAACTTGTGCCCGGCTAACCTCTCTAGCATTTGATCAATGAAAGGCAATGGAAAGAAGTCTTTTCTAGTCACCGAATTGAGTCTTCGGTAGTCAATGCAAACTCGCCACCCGTTTTGAACTCGGGTGGGCACCATCTCGCCATCCTTGTTTTCAATGACCGTAACTCCGGTCTTCTTTGGCACCACTTGAGTAGGACTCACCCACTTGCTATCGGAAATGGGAAATATGATTCCCATTTGAAGCAATTTGATCACCTCCTTTTTCACCACCTCCATCATGGGCGGGTTCAATCTTCGTTGCGGTTGTCTCATCGCTTTGGCTTCATCTTCGAGCAAGATCCTGTGATGCATGTGGATGGACTAATGCCTTTGATGTCGGCAATAGACCATCCAATGGCCAATTTATATTCCTTGAGGACCGCGATCAATCTTTCTTCTTGTTCTTGGGACAGGGCATTTGAAATAATCACCGGTAGAGTGTGATTTTCACCCAAGAACACATGCTTCATATTTTCAAGGAGTGGTTTTAATTCCACCTCCGGTGCCTGCAAAACAGATGGTAGCGGCTTCTCGCTTGGAATGGTTAGTGGGAGGGCTTTAGAGCCCGGTGGCAAAAGTGGGAGTTGGTTTAACTCCGCCACCATAACCTTCATGTTATTCGACATAGAGTATTTCAATGTAAAATCCTCTATGTCATTTTCAATTGAGCTTAGTACCTCATCCTTTCCCTCAATTTCAAATACATCTTGGACCCAAGTGTCGCAAGTGTCAATCGCAAATAGAAAGTGATTATCGGTAGGGTATTTCATGGAGTCGTATATATTAAATTCGACTTTTTCGCCATCGAACTCTATGGTTAACACTCCACTAAAAACGTCAATTTTTGCCTTGGCCGTTTTCAAAAAATGTCTGCCTAGTAAAATTGGGACTGCATTTTTATCGTTCTCCATTTCAAGAACGTAAAAATCAGCGGGAAAGATTAAATTATCCACCATGACGAGAACATCCTCTACCACACCTTTTGGGTAGGCATTGGATCTATCGGCAAATTGGATA